TCCTTACTCGTGGGTATTTCCACATGACATTGAATATGCCGCGATGGCTAACGCGAGGAACGAGCCAAGGGAGGGCCGAAAACGTCAATCAAAAGGCAATGTAGTACTTTGTTTGTATGACCACATAAAACCAAGCGGCTACTTTGATATTCGTCTGGTCGTTGTGGGACATTTTTCGCTTCCTCTCGTTTCCTTTTTCCTTCACTTCTCCCTCCTTTTACTCTCTCTTTTTTATTTCGTATAACTTCGCATCCGTTTGCTCTCCTGCATAATTTCACTCCTCCTTCATCTCCTTCTAGTACTCATTCTCCTTGCAGACTTTCCTTCTAATCCACTCTCCTTCTAGCTGCTCCTTTCAGTGGGTTATTCTGCTTCGTGTTGTCACTCCTACCTCCATTTTCTCCTTCTAATAGCCAATTCCACCAGTTCCTTCTTGTCAATTCAATTCTTCCACCAGTCCTTGCCTCCAGACCATCTCCTTGCTGATCTCTCTTTCTTGTCCTAGTCCATCCTCTCCAAATTGATACCTTTTTCCACCCGAGAGAAGCCGCGCAACGCTGCAGCCTTTTTGTGTCTCATCCTCATTTTACGCACTTTGAGCCAAATGAAACTTTCGCAGCCAAATGGAGTCGCGTAAAATATGCAAAAGGTATGTCAGTAAGAAGGGTTGCAATGACAAAATGATGTATTGCATAAACCTCTGATCAACTCACGGTGACCGCGATGGACGAAAAGCGGCTCTGCTTCTCAAGCCTGCAACTCCACTGCCCCAATAGACCAAAGCGTCGTGTGCTTGCGTTACGACACGCCATCGTCGCCAGCAGACATTCCGTCCTGAGTACTATCTAGCAGTGCTGATATGTTTTGCAGACACCTCTTCGCACTTCTCTTGAAGTGTGCCTTGTCAGTGCACTGCAGTTACACATGTCTGGAATGGCTTTTACTGGCAGGAATCGTAGCGTTTGCTGAGCTCTCCAACTCTACTTTGGGGGCTCTGAGAGTTCGGTTTTCGGCCGTAACACCGAGCATTTGGATGCCTTTCTCAGCATTGTG